TACTATTCCCATTAGTTTTTGGTATACATTCTTCTGCAGTTGTGATTAAAATTAAACTTAATTCCTCTGTACATTTGTCAATGTCATCTTCTGTATTATAATTCTTTACTTTTTCTTCACATATTTGATTATACTTTCCCCAATCAGCTTTCTCAAATTTCCATCTATTTTGTTTTATCAATATACTTCTTTCCATTTCTAATCCTATTTTACATATAATTGGAAAATGGTCACTCCCTACTGTTGACTGCTCTACCTCCCATTGGTATTTAACAGATATTGCAGCTAACACTATTGTTAAATCTAAACATGATTTTTCTTGTTTTCTAATATTAAATCTTGTTCCCCTACCATCGTTTAAGCATACTAGTGAATTATCTTCCATATAATCTTCCACCACTATTCCATTTGTGTCTGTGTTCATACCACCCCACACCACACTATGTGCATTAAAATCCCCACACCATATCCCTATACTTTCATCTTTTCTCCAAATATTATTCAGCTCCACTAATGATATTTGCTTACATGGATTGTAATAATTAATTATTTATACTTTTCTTAGTGCTGTCCACACTTCAACCTTAACACATTCATATTGTGAATCTACACTTATTTCCCTATAAGCCACCCCATTTTTTTATATAAATGTTGCACACCTACCACCTGAAGTTCCTGCTCTGTCTTTTTTAATACATACCCTGGAATGACAAAGTCCCATCGCTATTTAAGCCATGTTTCTTGAATACATATTAAATCAGGCACGTTTGTCATTTCATGTATAACCTTCTTAAATTCTTGGCCATTCGTGATTAAACTCCTGGCATTCCATTGGATTATCCTGAATGTCATTTTATTTTATTAGCCTTTGCTTGTCTGGGGGTTCTTAAAGGGTTTGAATTACTCTCAGGTTGCCCTATAGAGACTGAATTACCTCAATTGACACTTCTGTTATTCCTAGATGATGAGATGCTGCAGATATTATGATTTTTAGTTTCTTTGTTCTTTTGTTAGTTTGAGCTGTACAGTTGATTACTTCTGCAATAAATGCTATAAAATTTACCTTGCTGACCATGAGTTAATCTGCATCCTGATTTGTTTTGAGGGTTGCTATTGATTTATTTGATCCTTCATCTGCATTTATAACTTGATAGCTCTTTGTGTTTCTTTGTTCATCTTGAATTTTCTTTACAGCTTAATCATATGATATGATCCACCAAAAGTAGATTTAAAATTACATGAAAACAAAAGAGAGATGGAAGAAGTTGGTAAGCTTAATAATGCATATTACTCATATCTACAAATATATACAGATGGTTCAAAGATTATGGAATCAGGAAGGACAGAAGTGGCATTCTATGTCTAGGTTACTAGTTTAGGTTACCAGCATTTTAAAATAAAAGGTTTATTAAAAGATGGTTTAGATTCAGAAAGACAAATAAAGGCAGTAATACGATTCATTAAAAATAGTGGATTATACATTAGAATTTAGGAAACCAGTTCAATCTCTTCACACTCCATCACAGTAGGTGACGATATGCACCTTTAAAGTTGGTTCGCAACTCGCCATAAAACCAAGAAGAAGAAAGAGAAGAAGAAGAAGAAAGTGTACCAAAAGGCGGAGCTAGACGCGCAGCTGAACGCTATTGGTTTACAGAGATACGTCATTTGCTTACGCTACAAGCCAGAACGTAAACAAAGGACCCGCAGATTTTTTTGCGCTTGCCGCGCGTCTATATCTGAAATAACAAACTTCTTGAGCACGCAGTTTTAGGGATCATCTGCGATTTACATCAACAGAAACAAAACGCATAGTAACGCAAAGCAGAAAAAAAAAATCTAGAAGATTCCAATAAATGGTTAGAGGCCATACTGATTTAATACAGGTAGCAAAGCTACTATACCTCTAACTATATGGTACATACAATGCAGAAATAGGCAATAGCTCTTGTCATAAGCATACAGTACACGTCAACTAAAGCCCCTTTAGGTTCTGTTGATGTAAATCGCAGATGATCCCTAAAACTGCGTGCGCGAATATCAAACCTTAAGCCAAGTTTACTGAGCTAGGAGGTGATTGGTTTTCTAAAGTATTTCCCAGTTCACGCTCGAGGGCTCGTGCAGCTTCACGAAGCCGCTGAGGAACAGACTTCGCCATGTATATGCTGCCAAATGTCCCAAATAGTCCTCGCTGCAGCTGTGATGACATAACCTAAAACCCGCCTTGCAGCAACGGCGGCCGTCTGTGGGCATGGCCAGGCCAGAATGCATTTTCAATTTCAAATCGGCTTTCATTTGTCGCGATGTGTTAAATGAAAATGCATTGTGTTTTTTCATTTTCATTCTGCAGCAAACATTGCACATATGTCTTGGAAAATGCTAACTGAAATACAGAAATACACTTCCATTTACATATTGCATTATCGTTTTGCGTATTACATTTCAAAATTAATTTTGCTACACACATCCCATGCTGTTATGCTGAAAATGTAATCCTGCGTTTCCTAGACGCGAGTGTAAATGCATTTAGGACAAATAACATTTAAATGATCATTTTGCTAGTTTCTGCTTGTACTTTATTCACATCAAATTCAGTTTGTGTATAGCATTTTCAATTTAATTTTGCTACTTATGAAGCTTTAAAATGTGGATACAATTTACATATTGAAACAGTGTTTGAAATGAGAAATGCAAACAATGTAATTTAATTTACATTTTCATTCTGCACCAAACATTGCTCATATTGGAAAATGCAAATTCAAATACAGAAATACATTGCCATTTAACATATTGCATTGCCATTTTGCATATTACATTTTGAATTGAATTATGCTACTCATACGCTTCCATAGGGGGCGGAGTTGAAAACGGAGCCGTCAAGCCGGACAGCTGGACACTTCGGGGCTCAAACTTGCTGCAGTCATGATGACCAATCAAATGGCGTCATCATAATTTTATTTTTATTTATAACAACAAAACAATTTCAAATAAAACAGAATACAGTAGTTTGTACAATTTTAAACAATAAGGGAGAATTATGAATAAAATATAACAAATGCAAGAGAGACAAAAGGGGAAATGAGAGGGTAATATAAACATACAAATGAACCGGTCTATTAAATACAAAGCAATAAGCACAAATTATAGGAGTTTAAACATCACTTAAGGCTAATATTTAGGCTCGTTCAGTAGAATTAATTTCTTCTTTCTTTGTGCGCGAGTCAATGAAATCAACACTTTCAGATCTTGAACCTCGTTGCAGATGAAATCAATAGTTTCCAACACACCAGAGATTTTTTCAGTGTTCTTGCCGACCTCTTCTTTCATGTCTTTGATTATCCGGGAGTTTTCAACTCACCTTTTGTCATACACCACGCCCACCAAAAGGGTACCCTTGCTAGAGGAAACGCAAGCCTAATAAAGGTGACCCGTACCAGTAAGTGGAAACGAGCCATTAAAATGTTCACTCCTGGCACCTACCGGACATAATGTTTGTCGTAGCGACATCAATAAAACAAGCATAAAAACTAATATTAAATATATTTTATTTTAAATAACTAGCAACCTTATATTTATCAAACCCAATGCTTTCCAATAACTGAATTGCATAATAAACCTTATAATTTGCTTTTATATTTATATTTAGCGTAGTCTTTTCATTATTCAACATGATTTCTCTATTAATCTAATTTAAAGGATTATAAATAAATGTATATGATAAATAATGGGCAACGCAGTAGCATTGTAACCTCACAGCAAAGGTGCTGGTTCGACTCCCAGCTGGCGTTTGTGTGTTTGCATGTTCTCCCCGAGCTCACGTCGGTTTCTCCCACAGTCAAAGACATGCATTATAGGTGAATTAAATAGCATAAACTAGGTGTCACCAATCTTGGTCGTGGAATCCAGTGTCCCTGCAGGGTTTAGCTCCAACTTGCCTTAACACACCGGCCTGGATGTTGTTGCCTAGCTAGTAAGAGCTTGATCAGCTTGTGTTTGATAAGGGTTTGAGCTAAAATTTGCAGGACACCGCCCCTCCAGGAACAAGTTTGGTGATCCGTGGTAAGCTAATTGGCCGTAATGTATGACTGAGTGTGTATGGGTGATTCCTAGTGTTGGGTTGCGGCTGGAAGCGCATCTGCTGCATAAAACATGTGCTAAGTAAGTTGACGGCTCTTTCCACTGTGGCGACCCCTGATTAATATAGGGACTAAGCTGAAAAGAAAATGAATGTTACAATTAATTTCATAATCTAATAATACTGAATTTAAATGCAGTCTTCTTGGTGTTATTTTTGCAATTGTGCATTATAATTTAGTTTATTAAGATTCACGTACAACATTGTTCATTTGAATATTAAATAGCCATGTTTTATGTTTATTAATAAAATGCCTATATAGAAAAATCAACTGAGCAGAATGTGAATATAAATGCGTTCATGAACCAGCTGACCACTGTAAACCACAGTAAAACTGTTTTAACACTTATTTTTAAAGACACAAAAAAAATATTAAAAATAAAGTTTGAAAAAAAAAAAAAAAAAGGTCAGTCAGCACCCATGTTACATCCGAAATATCTATTTAACAAAAGCTGAAAAGTATCCATAGGTGGCGACAGAAAACGGTCTTCATTCAAATGTAGAAACTAAAAACTTTAATGGCTCAGAAACCTAATTTGCACCCTTTGATGTAAACAAGGCTGCAATCCTAAATGCGCTAAATTTCAGAAAGCCTTTCAATTGGAGTTGCTGTTATAGTTGCTAAAGGTGGAACAACAGAATAAGCCCCACATGGTTAATATTGAGATGGCATTAAAATAAAGGCCTAAAACTTAGTAAATAGCAATGGCATTATTTATTTATTTATTAATATTATTTTTTTGCACTTCAAGTCTGATGAATACATAGTGACATTACTGTCCAGTACAACACTATAGCAAATTCTCCACTATTCAGCTTGGACCATGCTGGAAAACAAGAACAAATTTAAACAAACAAACAAAACCAAAGGTTTCCAAATGTTTTATTCAATGCAAAATGACTTCTGTACTACTACTTCGACTTCTGGGTCTGTGCCTGTGCCTTCAGGACTTTGACAACTATCTTCTGTTCCTCAATGAGGAAAGCCCGCTTGATCCTGTAAAGTAATGCATATAGATTTGGGTCAAGCACTCATACAAAAACATTTTAAACTAACAATCCCAAAACATTTTACTTTTTTGAACCAAGCAAAGGATTCAGAAATGGATGCAGTCTCCCTTTGCATTAAACTTTAAGCGTACTACATACAGAGATGTTTATGTTCAAACAACAATGAACAAAGTTTTAAAGTTGATATCTTAGCGGACCACCTCTTTATTGTATCTGTACCAAATCTAATCTAAACCAAAGTTATTGTAATCTGTCAAATCTCCATCATCAGCAAATAAAATGTAATCTCTAACTAGGAGATGCCATAACCTCTATTTACCATGCTCTTGTGTAAGTGTATGACCCAAGACTGGTTTGAGTGATAAAGCTGTTAACTTTATCGGTTATTAAGCCTGTCACACAAAGAAGACTTCTGGTGTGGTGTTGAAGCTTATAAATCCCCTAAAAGATACATTTAAACTAAAGATAAATTGAAACCTAATATGGAGGGGGAGAAACACACAAGGAATAAAAATAAAGCAGGCTCAAACTGAGAAAGGAAAAATAACCAATGATACTGATGATGGCGAGAAGAGCAGTGAAAATAATGGTAATGCAGGAGAGGCTAATAAGGATTTGCCAAGTCAAGTTTTTGACTATTCGAGAGAAAAGTTGAGCATTAATAGCAGATCTTAAAAATGATATGAAGGAATTTAAATTCTCTTTACTGGAAGATATGCAGGAGTTGAATGACTGGGAAATTAAGTAGAAATTGAAAAATTTTCAAAAATATATATGCAAATGCCAGAGTTATTAAAGCAGAAGAACTCATAAATGATTGAGGAACGGAATATAGAGGATAGTGATACTAACAGAACCACATCAAAAGAGGATTTATTGCCTGGATGTGATAGAGGATCTTTTATTAGCCATAAACACACAGGGAATAAAGTTGTGAACGTGCCCTTGAACTTGGCACACCGCATGGTGACTGAATGCACCTGAACTTGTGGAATTGCCATGGACAATTAACAGTACATTGTGTTGAGGGGAAGATGAACTGGCCTGAACACAACACTGAAACTCTGCTTAAATTTCACATCCTTTTTAGTGGGTAAGAAAACAAACGCAGCAAATTGTGGAGAGAACATGGACATGGCAGAAAACCTCAGGTACTGCCAGTCTCTCCTCTAAAAGCATAACGTCCTTGGATTTCCTTTTTTTTTTTTGTGGAGGGGTTAGTGCAGGGGTGGGCAAACTCGGTCCTGGAGGTCCGGTGTCCTGCAGTTTAGCTCCAACCCTAATCAAACACACCTGCTTATAGATTTCTTGTGATCTTAAAGACACTGATTAGCATGTTCAGGTGTGTTTGACTAGTGTTGGAACAAAACTCTGCAGAGACGCCGGCCCTCGAGGATCAGGTTTGCCTGGGTTAGTGGATCTAGACTTTGCAGCCACTGCCATGAATGACTGCTCTTTGCTGTGGGTTTTTTTTTGTCAATGCAAAAAAATGTAAAAATTCTGACCTGTGTCAGAGGAATGGGCCAAGCGGGAACAGGAGGATGTGGTGCCTTTTTACAAGGCAAGCAGAGATCAAAAGTCTCCTCAACTTTTTCTTAGATCAAAAGTCTCCTCAACCTTTTTCTTAAAGATGCAGTAGGTGACTGTCTTCAGAATTATTTTTTGTTGTTGTGCTGGTTTTAAGAGTCTTCACAGTCTAATAGTAATGATTAAGTAAATGATCTAAATGCGTTTATATGTATTTTTATATATTTGGGGTAAGGCATAAAACTAAAAAAATGTTAATCCACCTAAATATTGTCAGGCCGACATCTCCCATAATTCCAATAAGTAGCTCAAACTGCCTGTCAGCAACTGCAAATTTGGACTTCTGCGTCAAATTTAAGACTATTAAGTATTAAATTTATGACCTATATCAGAATATCAAAAACACGCAAAAGAAAACATAAATCACAAAATTAGGGGTCAAATAAATGTATTTATATTGAACAGTACCAATACAGGTTAGATTGAACTACAGAAAAAACAAACATCTTTATGCTGATTTATATTATATATTTTAACCTGGCGCCGCATTACACACCTCACAAAATGGAGGCTTTTAATAGGTTAGGTTCGCTATTGAGATTTTTTTTTTTAAATGACAGTGGGTGGTCAAAAGAAACAGTAAAATCAGACGAATAAAAAACAAATCATTAATATCATTAAAGATGTTTTTGGGGGGGCCAATAATTTTGTTTAAAAAAAAAACTTCTCAGGTTTTTTCAAACTTTTACAAAAACTTTCCACCTCTCCCACTGCTGTTGCAATTTCTAGCCAAGAATTATTGGTCATCTGGTTCTCCCCAAGATCTTGCATGTACGGATCACAAAAGATGTTGGTACAGACATACCACGTTCAGACAAAAATCTCTTTAAACAGTTTCATATTCAACTCAAAACAAAAAGGAATTGTTCACCCGAGTCTCAAAAAATTCTATTAGCTCCGCTATGGCGTTATTTCACTGACAAATGTCGTGAGTGCAGTATTACAAGTCGAGGGATGCATTTATGTAATACAAGCGAGCGAATCTCTTTGCTTGTGCACCAATTTCCTCTGTGGACAAAACTGCAAATTTTCTCACTTTCAAATATGCACTGCTCACGCACAAGTTTTCTTGTGTGTTCTCAGTACACTGTTCCCTCTTCCTTTCGTGCTTTTTATTATGATTTATATTAGTACACTATTTATTACCAATAACCAAATTACTAAAATAGACTTACATTACATTTCTAATCTAATAAACCATAACATTTTGGCTGTCTGTTATGAGATATTTCCAGGTTCAAACACTTAAAAGACACCGAGAATAGTTTTATTTTTAAAAGCATTTAATAAACATTCAAAAGGTGCACCATACTAATAAAATAAAATTTTAATATAACTAATGCAAGCAAAATTGTAACTGTGACAGAAAATAGGGGAAAACTTGATAAGGTATTATAGCCTACTGTACTATTCACTCTTAAAATAAATCGTATTCCGTTCACATTCTTTCTATTTCATCAGCTTTGCAATAACTAGATTCCTGATAAATTTATTTGTGAATTTTATTTTGTAAGTTTGCTCGAGTGCTATACCAGCATGCAGCCAGTTTGTGTATGCGAGTGTTAATTTGGGTGTATGCAAGAACCAAGTTTATATATATGTGGGTGTATGCATGCATGCATCAAGTTTATATGTATATGTTTAAGTTTCATACATGTTTGAACATAGTATAGGTTTATATGCGAGTGATTTATAGGTGTATATGCACGTGTTGATAAACAAAGATTTAAATCCTACACAGAGGGTGCAGTTTCATCTTCTCTTGATCAGGCTCATTATTCGATTTATTCTGGTTTAAAAAATATTTATATGTAGGCTTGAAAGCTTAGTATTTTTTAAAATTCATACGTTTAGTAGGCCTATGTGTCATTATTTTCGCTGCTCACTGCGCGCAAAACAATAAACACAGATCAATGAGAGTGATTGTAAATGTAAGAAAGCTGAAGAAAGTGACTACATTTGTGTGCACGCGTACACAATGCACCCCAACCATTGTTGCCAGATTGGGCAGTTTTGAATTTGATTGGGCGGTTGTTTTTGCATTTCGGCGGGTTTTGGATAGTTTTTGGGCTGCAATCACTCAGCAACATCTGGCAACACTGCACACAGCTTTGCAAGCTGTTTTTCACGGACTCATTCACAGTCCCTCACATAAACACGCATGCAATTATTCACCACGCACAAGTTACGCAAAACACGAATATCTGACATTTCCCGGAACAAGATCCGGCTCAGATTAAGCACTGTAGCGAACAGTTTATTTGCTGTAATGTTACTTTGCATACACAAATTATTTGCCATTTGTGAAAGGTTTGCAGTTTATGCTGGAGCTCCTCACGCCTTCTTTCAGCTTTTGCTCAGCTTGTACTTTGCCGCAAAAGCTTCATGGTTCGAAGCTTCAAAAGCATGTCTGTGATGTACACTCTTTTCGGCTGAGCACTGAAAAATATTCAGTGACAAATGCTACAATGTATAAGATTTTACATATAATAAAACATGTATGCAAATTTATATTGAAATGCCGGAAATGGGCTTAAATATCATATCATCTTTATTGAAAAAAATTATATCACGATATATATTGATATCGAATTATTGTCAAGCCCTAGCTTATCCATTCTACTATTTACAAGTATTGTAAAGGTGTACATCAGTTACCTGTCTCGTACACATTTGGCACACATGGAACCACCATAGGCTCGGCTGACATGCTTCTTGGTTTTTGAAAGCCTCATAAGAACTTGGGGTCTCACAGCACGAATCTATTAAGAAAAAACCATAAGAGCATGTTTCAATCAAGATGTAAAAGAAATTAGACTTTGTATTAAAGCTTTATACAAGTAAAATACACAAGTAAAATCTGGCAATTTAATTGGATATAACTACTAAATGTGAACTTCTGCTGTGTTACAGGAGTTGTGAGCTTTGTCTAAAATTAAACTACTAGAGCTATTAGCTGCATATATTAGATGTTGTTACAATGACAATGTAGTTACAATCCAAAGGTATGGATGTAACAATTCACTCAGCTCAAAGCATGAATACTCACAAAACTGGTTTCACCATTCCAATTCTCATGTTTTATGAAATAAAAGAACTATTATAAATAAGTTCATGGGAAATTTAAATGCAGGTCAAAAACCTAAGTGGGAATGAGGTTTAGTCATTTGTCATGAAAACATTATTTGTGACTGACGATTGATAAATTGTATAATATATATATATATATATATATATATATATATATATATATATATATATATATATATATATATATATATATATATATATAAAAAAAACAATATTAATTTGCAAAGACCAATCAAAGCTATAGATTGCGACAAAAATTATGGCAAGCATGACAACTCTCTTGATAATGAGCAAGATAATATTTAGGTGCTGCATTGGTGCCGTTGAGTCCATGTTTATTTTGAGCGGCTTTTAATTGTATGGCAAAAATGTAGAAATGTCTTGCCTTTAGCCCAATTACTTTTTCTAAAGCTTGAAAAGCATCAGAGACCTAAGCCCCCTGAAAATTATTAATTATAACTGACTTAAGAGCAAAAAGAGTCTTGACTAAAAGCTGAGTATCAGCGTAATTTAAGTGCAGAATGAAATCTTTACGTTAGTCATTTCATAAAATGCTGATCACATTTATTGCATTACTGAAATGCTTTCAGCTGCTGAGAAATTAAAGGAATGACAAAAACCAGCAACCACAGTCAGCACTATTTTTGCAGTTAATTGTGCATTTAATATTAAATAAATTAATAATAATAAAAAAAAGTGTCTGCAAAGATTCCAAGAGGATGTAAATCAGCATCGGGTTTAACACAAACCTCAATTCACATCTTATCATATACAACTTTGTGCTCTCAATGTCATTACACAGAGATATGATGATCTATTTACTGGGGGTTGAGAAAATAAAAATGACTATAATTTAATGCTATTAAAGATAAACAAATTTTGTTTAAAAAAAAAAAAAAAAAAAAAGAGAACAAGTTGCAGAGTTTAAATTTAAAAAAAAAATAAATAAAAATAAAAAATATCACTGACAGCCATTTAAGCAGGCACTCTTTAGTTTTTGAAAACCTAAATATAAATTTAGGTACCCTAAATATAAAATACATTTGTTACAGGCTATATGCTTAAAGAAAAAAAACAACATTTAAAATTTAATATTTTTTAAATAACCAACGTGGTCATAAAAAATGTTTCAGAACGTTACAGGGTAGTCATTTTTTACATAAAAGTAATAACAAAAAATATTTAAAATGTTCCCACATGGTTATTTTTGGTTATTTCATATAACTTGCAACTACCTGTAAACCAACTACCTGGTTTTAGTTCCAAGCTGCAATACAAAACACAAATAAATAGTTCACTCAAAACTTGTCATTATTTACTCACGCTTCACTAATCAAACCTAATTGTGTTTCTCATTTTTGGTCACCACAAGTTTTTTTTTGTTTTTTTTTTAAGCATAAAATGCTTCAAAATATTTTTATCTGTGTTTAAGAGATTTTAAAACGGTTTGAATGAGTAAATATTGAGCGCATTTTCATTTTTGGGTAGCTGCCCACTATCCATTTGTTACTTAAAAAAAAAAAATAAACATTTTCTTTTACAAGTTGTCTGACAGTTGTTAATCAAATCTGCAGTTGTTGAATAATAACAAATAGGGCTGCTCGATTTTTGGAAAAATCATAATCACGGTTATTTTGGTAATAACTGTAATCATGATAATTCAAAACGATTATCAGTTGAAGTCAAAATTATTAGCGCTCCTGATAATATATTTTTAAAATAAATATATCCCAAATGGTGTTTAACTAGCAGCAGTAATTTTGACTAGAATAAAAGCAGGTTTAAATATTTTGAAACCCATTTTAAGGTCAATATTATTAGCCCCTTTAAGCAATATATTGTTTGATTGTCTGCAGAAGAAACTACTGTTATACAATGACTCGCCTAATTACCCTAATTAAGCCTTTGAATCGCACTTTGAATTTGTTTGAATAAATCAGTTATTAAAAATGAGTGATTAAAATAATTATGTTAAGAAATAAGTTGAAGAGGAGAGCTGTGCTGGTCGGACTGCTCATCAAACATCTCCCGCTGGATCTAATCTCACTAGATTTGCTAAACGTGATATTTAATCTTTTTTTCTATATCTAATGACATTCCCCTATTTACTTGTTCACAGGTAACGTGTTTTGGCTGAGCGCAAAGATAAGTTAATGATTATTGCAACCACGTACATTCTGTCTATTGACTGATCGCTTGCTTTATTTCCTATAATGTGAAAAACTATTGCATTATATGTATAAATTATTGATTATTAAAACTGACATTCAGCAAAGCAGAGGATACGCATTGTATTTTCAATGAAAATGAAAGGAGGCAGTGATGTTATGGCTGTTTTATAAATATGCATACAATGAAGATGCAGCACGACACCTCAGCATTTCTGCTGTCTGTTAATTTGTTAATATCAAATTGAAAATAGCAGTTCCTTAAATCATGTTTTTATTTTGTTGTTGAGAAAGTGAAACAACGTAGCCAGGATGATGTGAATAAGGTTATAAAGTACAGTTCCCTTTGAAGATTTACCAGACATGTCCTCAAGGGTTTTCCATATCAAACTTGTGAAGTCTGAACTTACAGGGAGAGGATGCGAGACTGAACTGTATGTATAGGCTAATATTGAGGAAAAGCCCCAAGCAGATAGGCGACTCTCTGCAGCCCCGCCTCCGTTTTTAGATGTCTCTGTTTTCAACCATCCACACTGAGACGGAGCAGCAGCGTTTTAGAATGAAAACGGCTTCTCCAGCGTTTAAAATGAAAACGCATTTGTTTAAACAGGGCCTTAGTGTGCGAATGAGAGCGAATGCGAAACAACCGTGTGTAGAGGAAGCGCAACAGGTGCTCGTGCACCCACAGTCCTGCTGCTTTCAAGAGCTCAAGATTGAAAAATAATATATATATATATATATATATATATATATATATATATATATATATATATATATATATACACACACACACACACACACACACACACACACACACACACACACACACATATATATATATATATATATATTTATATATATATATATATATATATATATATATATATATATATATATATATATATATATATATATATATATACACTTTTGTAAGGAGCAGCAGTCACTGCTTTCATTTTAATTATTCTTTAAACAAATTAACAGGCCTAACATTAACTGTTTGCACGTGTTCATCCTTTTATTATCACACGCAGTATGTTTTTACCTGCTTTCTTTTGCTTGGTTACTTTTGTAAAGATTATCATCCTTTACAATAACATTGCTTTAATAGGAGATTAACTCCCTATTTATGTTTAGTTAACTGCTGATCTAAGACCTTTAGCCAGGCCAGATTACTGTGCATATTTTAGATACATGACAAAAGAACTTTTTAAACATCAATTAAAAAAGTTTGGTTGAATAAAAAGTATGTGTAGCTATATTTCACTTGTTTTGACGCATTTAAAATTTGTGGCAAAGAAATAATTAAATAGAAATAATTGGTAAGAGATAAATTTGGTAAATTCCTAATTTTGAGCCCTGAAAAGTCATGTGAAATAAAAACTGCATTGTGTGTGTGTGTGTGTGTGTGTGTGTGTGTGTGTGTGTATATATATATATATATATATATACGAATACTTGATTCGAACAAATACTTGAAAAATTATTTGTATTTGGGGGCAAGAAAAGCACTATCAAAAAGCAGCGTTTCCTCATGAGACCACAGTGCATGCCCGCGTGATTGAGTGTGAGAGAATGTGAGAGAGAGAGAGAGAGAGAGAGAGAGAGAGAGAGAGAGAGAGAGAGAGAGAGAGAGAGAGAGAGAGAGAGAGAGAGAGAGAGAGAGAGAGAGAGAGAGAGAGAGAGAGAGAGAGAGAGAGAGAGAGAGAGAGAGAGAGAGAGAGAGAGAGAGACGCGCGCTCAGTCAGCAGTGGGAGGGCGGGGCGGAGGTGTCTGACACAAGCTTCACAGCAACAGACAGAAGGCTCGGCTGAGCGAAAAAATACTTAACTGCATCGCTATTTTTGTTAAATAGATTTTTGTACCTTAATTGGGTTCCAAAGGCAGTTTATAAACTTGTAGCGGAGTTGAAGCGGAGTTTGTTCGGGATTCTATTACGCTGCATTTTTGAAGTTTGCAATCGGGTGCTCTGTTTACGCAACGTTAGCTCTGTTAGCGCGGTAATTTAGACAATAAATTGTTGACAGAGTAATGTTAACGTTTGTTTATAAAGGTTACAACGATGCTTTTGCAGTTGTGTATGAATAGTATGCACTTATGGGAGTTATATGGTACGTCTAAATTACTGTCTTTTGCAGACAGCAAGATATATGCTATAGGCTAGTTAACCTTAGCATAGCTTCCCGTCACATTTTATTAACTTGAAACTCTTCAAATACATTTGGGCACCATGAAAAAATGAGACTGCTGCCGAGCCATTTCTTGGTCCTCCACCAGTCAAAAGAAAAAAAAAACCTTCATGTTCTGTGTGGAAGCATTTTACAGTCAGTGGAGCTGCAGATAAAAAAACTGATACTGTATAATGTGTGCAAAAGTAAAATCAGATCAGAGGCAGAGATATTAAACATCTGTCAACATCTTCTATCCATAATCATTCCTTTTCGGCTAAATCCCTTTATCAATCTGGGGTTGCCACAGTGGAATGAACCACCAATTTATCCAGC